CAAAAGAAGAGAGATGAGAAGCTCATAGCTAAGCTGCAGGAGGTGGAGATGGACGTCACGCTCGTGGAGGTGATGCGGCGGCAAGCCAAGCTGCTGTTAGAAGGTCGGTGCTCTCTCTCTGTCGCTCACTCACTCTTACTCACTCATTCACGTGCACTCACTTGTCACTCACTCACTCACTCACTTCACACACTCACGTCACTCGACTCACATCATCCATCACCTTTCACGTTCACTCACCGTCACTCACATCACTCACAGTCTCGTCACCACCACGTTCACATCACTGCCACTCACTCACTCTGCACTCACTCACGGTCACTCACTCACGTCACCGTCACTCTACTCACTTCACTCACTTCACTCACCTCACGGTCACAGTCACTCCTCACTCACGTCACATCACTCACCGGTGCCGATGCACATCATAGATACAATAGAGTGTGATGCTGATATATACATATATACATATTACACACACACACACGCACGCAGATCACGCAGCGGCACGGCACGCACGCACGCACGCCACGCACGCACGGCACGCACGCAGACGCAGCACTACGGCAACAACACACAGCACACACATATATATGTGTATATGATGTACGATGTATATAGATGATGTATGATATAAATAAATGTAGTATTTCCATATACGATGTAGTGTCACTAGATATGATACATGACATATGATATTATGTGTCGGTTTGATACATGATATACGATAGTTGTGCAAAGTTTGATAGCAGATGCCTCGAAGCTGCAATTACTGATTACCGACTAGTTCTTACTCATCATGGTCTTGCTCAGCTCCATCTAAACCCTCGTGAAATACAGAAAAATACTCGCGAGCGTGTAAACGACGACGAAATACCATCGGGTCAGCGTCTGCCGTCGCCATAGTAACGTATTGGAGGGCGACACCCCCGTTGTCGTCTGCAGGCGGGCCCCACGAGCGGGACTAGGACTCGGCATCCACGTTGAGAGCGTGCCGATGCACACCTTCGCCAAGTATCTGTTCACGTCGCTGCTGCCTCATGACTCCGACCTGGCCTACAGGATAGGACTGCGCGCAATGAGGTACCTCATAGCGACCATATATTATAGACGATATACATATACATATAATTATTATATAATAGTATATGCCGTGTATATATAGTATTATATATAATATACATTATGTTGGATGTGTGCGTGCGATCTCGTTGCCACTGGCACGCGCGTACTTTTGGTTACAGTACGTGCCTACTCGGGCTCGTGTTCGTGGGGCATATCGGAGTGGTAGTGTGAAACAGATTTGTTGCAATTTGAGTCTTACGTACATATCGAAGGGAGTGTAACGCCCGTTTCCCCGACGTTACTGATTCAGTTGTCGATCTGGGCGGCGATGTATACTGCATCTCTGCTTGAAATCTCCATGAAAAAACGCTATGGGCATCAATTTCAAATTGTTAAAATAAATTTTAGCGTCCACAGCCATACGGAGACATTGGTCTATCTGTGGATGTGTAACGGTGAAAGCTCACTGGTAAAGTCTACGCCGCACCCAGGCTGTGTGACTAACGTCAATACACCGGTATTCTAACCCTAGCAATACCGTTTCTTGGAGCTATGGTAAAGCTAAAGCGTCATTAGAGGAAAAAAAATCTCCTTACATAATGTTACATTGTAGATGTAGTTCTTCATAAATGGAACGTTCAAGAATATTGCACGTTCTGATTTTCTGTACATTACCTACTTATTGGATATAGTGTTGGCATCAGTAGCAAGACACATTGAGAGAATATTACATTAACGATTTCCTGTACATTCCGTATACTTATGGATATAGTGTGTGCCATCATTAGACATTGAGAATATTACGTTATAACTTAAGATATAGGATATATATAGGATATAAGATGCCTGTATTAGACATAGATGCAGTGTAAACTAGCATCTACGACCCGATTGGAACTTAGCAAAACGCATCGCGTGTCGAGTACGTGACGTCCACTAGAGTTGTTGTTGTTGTTGTTGCCGTAGGTTACGGCGATCTAGAGGGCAGTGGTGACGCGCGGTGATGAACGGCGCGCGTGGTTCACGCTCGGACAACTTGAGACGCAGCAGTGTGAGCTCGCCTCTACGATGCTAGCCGCTGCCAAGGGTATGTATGCAGCACGAGCATCGCGGTTCAGCGGGGACGGGGGCAGGGGCCGTAGGGCTCTCACTTTCCTGCTAATTTTTCTCTCTTCTCTCTCTCTCTCAATCTCTCTCTCTTTCTCGTCTCTTTTCTCTCTCTCTCTCTCTCTCTCTCCTCTCTCTCTCTCTCTCCGCTCTCGCTGTCTCTATTTCTCTTTCTCTCTGTCTCCCCCCCTCTCTTTCTCACACACTCACGCTACCACTGCACTCACTCACTCATCTCACGTCAGCTCACAGCTCACTCACTCACTCACTCACTCACACTCACTCTTTCTCTGTCTCTCTCTCACTCAATCTCACTCTCACATCTATCTATCTGTCTCTCTCTTTCTTGCACGGAAGAGAAAATTCACGAAACTTCCAAGTATATATTCAAATTCAGTAACACCATCTATTCTTGCAATTGATCGCAAAGAATGCGTCGGGTTTCGAATTCGAACGCTAGAGGTTTTCATCACTATGGTGTGAATACGGATGAAATTTCGTGCTTTCACCAATCTCTGGTGGGGAAATCCTAACAACAAGCTTCGTATAGTTTCCCAGGCTGCTATTCATTATGCCTAGCACGTAGGGCGTTGTCTGACAACAAACCTCGGCGCATACTTCTCGCCGATATCTGAGTTGAAGGCTCACTTAATGCGAGCCGTGGTCACGTGACACGTCGCACTCTCACTCGATACCATCTCGGCATATCAGTAGGGTTTCATGTGTCTGTGTTGTGGTGCTCGTGCGTAAGGTGTAGGCAGTATAAACCACATTAAGCTTATTGTATGCTGCGTGTTTAGATGCTGCTTGTTTATTTACACGCTAACTTCACTATGACAAAAAATGTCCCTCAATGTCTCTAATGTGCATAATGTTGATGAAGCTTCGGCATTCGGCCATTTTCGCAGTGAAATTCGGTATAAAATTGTAGATGTGTTTCTATGGAAAGTGTTTCCAGTCAAAAGCATTATTGTAAGCGCAAGTAAAAGCAAACATTTTTTAACTCACACATTAATTATTTTATGATATAATGTGTTGATAATTACACAAAGTACTTATTAATTTAGTCACCTCTATACTCAAAACAAAGAGATATAAGATATATCCAAACCGAGGCCAGTAGTGTTGTGGTCCCAATCCACACCAAACAATCGGTGAAATTACTGTTCTCTATGGTGGTTTTTTCTGTTTCAAACCTTGAAAATTGCACCCCATGTCCGTAAAGTCACAATTTCTCAATCATATCCCGAATATACATACTGGTAATAATTCACGAATTCCGTCGGGGCAAATTTCTGCAAGTTGACTGTCTGTAACATGGGGCAACATTTATGCATTATTAGTGCATGTGTTTTTTTTGCACGCATGCATGTGTGTGTATGAATGTGTATGTGTGTATGCATGTGTGTGCGTGCGTGCGTGCGTGCGTGCGTGCGTGCGTGCGTATGTATGCATGGACCTGTGTGCAATAATAGATATTATCAGGAGTGAATAATAATAGATTATTATTCACTCCTGATATTATCATAACGGATATGCATGTTCTTACCTGCTTCTATTAACACATGTACGTCTTCATACATCACCTGCATCGTACCAGGGGTTAATAATGACAAATTTAATAATTTGTTATTATTAACCTCTGATCGTACGTATGTATGTCCGGCGTACATGTGTGCATCGTGTGTGCGTACGTACATGAGTCCGTGTGTGCTTGCGTATGTACGTGCCTGCATGCGTAAGTGTGTGTTCGCGCGTGCGTGCATGCGTACTTACGTGTGTTCGTGCGTGCTTGCATACGTACGTACGTGCGTTGAAGTGCGTGCTTGTATGCGTACGCCCGTACGTTTACTGCATGTTTGTGTGTGCATGCGTACGTGTGTACATGTGTGCATGCGTACGTGCGTACATGTATGCATGCGTACATGTGTACATGCGTACATGCGTACATGCGTACGTGCGTATATGTTTATGTGTGCGTGCGACCGTTGCTCACTGGCAGCGCGTACTTTTGGTTACAGTACGTGCCTACTGCTCGTGTTCGTGGGGCATATCGGAGTGGTAGTGTGAAACAGATTTGGTTGCAATTTGAGTTTTACGTACATACGAAGGGATGTGTAACCCGTTTCCCACGTTACTGATTCAGTTGTCGATTGCGGCGATGTATACTGCATCTCTGCTTGAAATCTCCATGAAAAAACCATGCCATCAATTTCAATTTTAAAATAAATTTTACTCACACCATACGGAGACATGGTCTATCTGTGGATGTGTAACGGTGAAAGCACTGGTAAAGCTAACCCGACCAGGCTGTGTGACTAACGTCAATACACCGGTATTCTAACCCTAGCAATACCGTTTCTTGGAGCTATGGTAAAGCTAAAGCGTCATTAAGGAAAAAAAAATCTCCTTACATAATGTTACATTGTAGATGTAGTTCATTCATAAATGGAACGTTCAAGAATATTGCGTTACTGAATTTTCTGTACATTACCTACTTATTGGATATAGTGTTGGCATCAGTAGAACATTGAAGAATATTACATTAACGAATTTCCTGTACATTCCATACTTATTGGATATAGTGTTGCCATCATTAGAACATTGAAGAATATTACGTTAATAAACTTAAGATATAGGATATATATAGGATATAAGATGCCTGTATTAGACATAGATGCAGTGTAAACTAGCATCTACGACCCGATTGGAACTTAGCAAAACGCATCGCGTGTCGAGTACGTGACGTCACTAGAGTTGTTGTTGTTGTTGTTGCCGTAGGTTACCGATCCTAGAGGGCAGTGGTGACGCGGTGATGAACGCGCGCTGGTTCACGCTCGGACACATTGAGACGCAGCAGTGTGAGCTCGCCTCTACGATGCTAGCCGCTGCCAAGGGTATGTATGCAGCACGAGCATGCGGGTCAGCGGGGACGGGGGCAGGGGCCGGTAGGGCTCTCACTTTCCTGCTAATTTTCTCTCTCTCTCTCTCTCTCAATGCGGCATTCACGATGCACTAACGTCGCGCACCGCACCATGTCACTGTACAGTACGCGCATGCACAGGCACGAAAGCTACGTATGATGCACATAGCACAAAGGTACGCATCGCCGCATGCAACGTACGTACGCGATCTCACCAGATGCACGTAAACGTATGCAACGCACATGCACAGTACCGTCAACGACACAAGATGCCACGTAACGCGATGCAGCG